CCCCTAGTTTTCACGACCACAGGTGGAATGGTGGATGAGTGTGTCAGGTACCACAGCAGACTTGTGGAGTGATCGCAAATAAGAAGGGAGAAAGTTACTCAAGCGCAATTTCCTGGATAAGCGCTAAACAAGAGAGGATAAAGGGGACAGAGAAGGCATCCCTCATACACACCCTATTCCATAGGTAATTCGTCTCGAGTTATTTTTAACACAGCAGATCTCAAGGGGGATTAGACAACAGCCAATCACATAACGCGAGTGTGTTCCGCGTGGATGACTCACGCTCAGGGCCACGCGTCCTTCACGAATTGACGCAGAACAAAATGGCGGAAGACGCGGAGAGCGATATTTCTATTCGTTTTGTCGACGAAGACGACTACAGAGAGATTTCTGCTAAAGCTGTGTCAGCTAAAGCGAAATTAAAAAAGAATCGCCCTTCCTCTTTTGTATAGAGCTAACAGTACAGCAGGGAAATCCTTAACACACTGAATATTCTCTCACCCCTCATTAATTAATTACAGTTTAAAGAGGGAAATTTCTGGTTTGATATTTATTTTTTTATTAGTCTTTTATTACTCAACAAAATAACACTTGACGTCCTACTTGCTTTATTGTACAAACGACCGGTGTCAATAGACCGGTGAAATTTCTAATTTTATTAAAGCACTGAGGTTACGACAATTTTTAATTAAACTGAGCTCAAGGGTTGTCAAAGAGTTCAGTGATTCCCTTTTCCCAGGTGAGCGGCGACTCATTTCGCTTCAATATTCAGGAATGCTCTCGATCTCTTTACCCTTTCATTGTCTTTCGCCCGACATGTTTTGCACGGCGTTTAGTCATGCGAAACCTCCACTAAACATCCACGCAGCCCGCGAGGTAACTTTATCCCGATTCTAAAAATAACTCGACACGAATTACCTATAAAAAAGGGTGTGTATGGGGTATGCCTTCTCTGCCCCCTTTATCCTCTCTTGGAGCTAAAGCATCTTTCGCCATTGTACGTTCTGCGATACTATGCTTGAAAGGCTCAAGATCCAGAAGAAGACAGCTAGACTTTGTTGACTCAGACCTACAGATTGATTGGAGCATGCCCGAATTATTATTATTTGTTTAAACAATTAGGAGTTTAGG